GAGAGAGAGAGGGGGAGAGAGAGAGAGAGAGAGAGAGAGAGAGAGAGAGAGAGAGAGAGAGAGAGAGAGAGAGAGAGAGAGAGAGAGAGAGAGGCATGGAAGAAAGGGAGCAACACTGACCTTGGCGAACGAACTCCAAGGACGTCCAAGGCGGCGGGTTGCAGCAGAGGACGAATGAACTCCAACGCGGTGGATTGCAGCAGCGAGCGCAACGCGGAGTGCAGCCTTGTTATTTTCACGGCGGCGTGGAAAACTATGGAGTTTGAATTCAAATTCTTCTCGCCTCCGTGGTGAAGGGCATCTCAGAAGGATGCATCCCCCGCAGGAGGGCAAATCAGACAGGCAACAGGGAAATGGTTCCGGCGGTCCGGTAGGGGCATTCCTGAAAGTTGTGCCCCTCACTGACAGAGGCCTGCACGAGAGTTCTTCTGCCCCAGGGGCAAATCAGGGTAAGTCGGCCGTCAGAGGGGCAAATCGCAAATAAACGGAAATTTCAGGGGCATTTTGGAACTTTTCCCTTGTTTTTTTTTTTTTTTTTTTTTGTGATGGTGCTTTGCCAGATTCTAGCAAGTTAGTAGCAAGTACTAGCAACCAAATAGAACTGTTTATGGGGAGGAGGACTCATTTGTTAAATTAATTGACTTATGAATGCTGAATTGAAACTCTGAAAGTTGAACCGCAATAAACTTGTTAATAGCCTTCTTGAGTCTGTGACTCTGTGATATTGACCCATATATATATATTGAAACTAACAATAGTACACATCATATTATCTATGCAGGTGAATAGGATCTTTGAGAAGATGGAGGAGTGTGAGGCAGAAGCATCTCAACTTCCAGAAATTCTGGAGTTCCTTCAGCTAACCAGCACAATGTATACGAAGAATTTCACTTTGTGTGAACAAGTGGACAGAATCCAGCATGAGCAGAATCATATCGTTAACTCCATCAGACTTCAGAAGGAGCTTATCCAAAAGGTATGCCTGCTGTCACCGTTCAGTGTTCATGCATGCCTTGTACCTGTGTTGAGTCAGACGACTTCGCGTTGAGATTTGACATTGAGCTTTGGAACCATGTCATAGGCTTGGCTTGTAGAGTGATGAGAGTGTGTTGTGACTGTTTGTGAGAATGTGAAGGTAGTCTTCGACAACCTTGCACTCCATTTTTGCTGTCCTGTCAGCCATTTCTTCTTACTAACTTCTTAGAAAGCTGTCTCACTTGCTCAGGCAAAAGGAAAGGCAGGTGGAGTGAAAAGGACTCGGATTGATAATGACAATAGAAGGTCTTTTTCTAGGTTAAATGATGGCATCTGGCAGACCTAAATTTTCGGTCTGAGAGGAAAGAGAGGGAATGGCCAAGCTGGCAGTCAATCCTTCGCTGAGATGGAGCAATCAATGCTGTCCAGGGGTCCTTCGGCCAGACGGAAGGATGCGTGAGTGAGTCTCAATGATGTATTAATTCTTGACTTGCCGGTGGAATAGGAACCGGACTGACGCTCCCCAGAATAGAATGGAGCCGGGACCATAAGGCCCCATTTAAAAAAAAAAAAAAAAAAAAAAAGAAAGCTGTCTCACTTGGTCAGTTGCTTCGTCCAACAGTTGCCAGAGAGCTTATGGATTCTTGCCAGTTCACTCAGGCAGTGTCTTTGCTCATGCCTACCTCAGTCAGCAGGTGTCAGAGTGTAAGCACAGAAAAGATTCTTGTGAATAACCATCTCTCCTCATTCTTGTGTGCATCACCCTGCCTTTCACACTATGCTGCCATTGCTCGAAAAGAGCAGGGACACTATCTGTAGTCTGATCACGGGTGTGGAGTGTCGACGGAGGGCCCTTTGGGATCCAAATGAGAAAACACTCCGACCATTCATCCCACAGCAGCAAGTGGTCCCGATCCGCCTTCCTGTCCGATTGACAGGTTCATTGGTGACGGGGTTGAACGTCATGGGCTCTCTTTTTTAATCCATTCTTCTGGTTGTGACTAGGTCACAATGAGTGACGGTCGATAGATGCATAGCATAAGCATGCTGCATGTGTCCCGCGCCTTGCTTGTGCCTGCAGACTCAGGGAAGAATTATCTGGGTACCTTGGCAGTGAGTGGATGCATAACATAACCATTCCATGGCATGCTGGTGTTATGCATTCATTCACCGCCACGGTACCCAGTTCATGCCGCAAAATTGTGCAAATGGTATATGGTATTATGGTTATGTTATGCATTCATTCGCCGCCACGGTACCCAGCTCATCCTGCAAAATTGTGCAAATGGTATAATATGGTTATGTTATGCATTCAGTCACCACAATGGTACCCACTTCATCCTGCAAAATTGTGCAAGT